GGCCCTCAAGTTACAAGTACCAGCCTGCTCAGCTTTCTAGTGAGTATACAGATAAAAGAAATGTCAGTGCTCTTCCAACATAGGATTCAAAATCAGGGTTTGAAACAAAAGCCTGGATAACAAATCTGCATCTCAAAAGCTCAACTGTTAAGTTCTACTTCTGTCTTAGCCAATGCATAGGAGGAAAATGACTAACTCCAAAAAAAAAAAAAAAAGAGTAAGCATCACTAAAAGAAAGCTGGTAGGGAGCACTTCTGTGGTCCACTAGATGTTCCTCCCTTCTCACCTCCTACCACTCCAAACCACTTAAGAGTTACCTAAATATGACAGGCACAGTGGTGCACACATGTAATTCCAGGAGCTTGGGAGGATGAGGCAGAAGGATCTCAAGTTCAAAGCCTGCCTCAACAACAGTGAGGCACTAAGCAACTCAGTGAGACCCATCTCTAAATAAAATATAAAATAAGGCTGGGAATGTGGCTCAGTCACTGACTGCCCCCAAGTTCAATCCCTGGTATCCAAAACAAACAAACAAAAATTTACCTAAATAGATGGTGTTCACTTTCATGCTTCTATGTCTTATATACACTGCAACCTCTAAACACATTCATCATCTGACTTTCGCTACTCTTTCTGCAAGTATCATCTGCTATATTCCGTCTTTCCTTAGGTCACAGTCCCTAGTTAAATATCCCACTTCTGTACTACTCTAGCATTTGGTATTACTATGCCTATCACAGCACCTTTCAAACACATTATAGTAAAAATATTACTGTTTTGTCTATTCCTCTATAGGTTTCTAGGAGGAGGGGGCTCTCATCACTTTAACTGCACTACCTTTTATAATGTATGGCACACACACAAAACACTCATGCTAAAGAAAAAAAGAAGGGTTTCAGTTTGATCTTCTGTACAATCACTGATCTGATGTTTATGGTCTCTCCCAGTTTCGCTTTCTCTTAGAATGAAGGATCAAGTAATACCAAATGATGGGCTGGGGTTCTAGCTCAGGGATAGATAGAGCGCTTGCCTAGTAATGTGTAAGGTACTGGATTCGATCCTAAGCACCATATTAAAAGAAAATAAATTTATTGTGTCCATCTAAAACTAAAAAAATTTTTAAAAAGAAATTCTAAATGAAATACTATTAAAAAAAGATAAAGACAGAAATGTATAATGAAGATCTGTGTCTACATATGGAGTACAATAATTTCTAAATATTGCGTGGCTTCTATATAAAATTTTCTTTACACATCAATTTGATAATTAAGCATAAAGATAGTAAACTACTGTTTATTATGTTAAGAGAAATGTCTCTTTATGAAACATTAAATACTCATTGATAACTCTAATTTTAATAAAAGGCAATACATGATTTTATATAGGCAAAAAACTATGCAAACTTTTGTGAAGTTATATTTATAATTATGTATACATGAATGTTAAGGAAATTTTTACATTTGGGGGCTTGATGGTAGGTACCTTCTAGTTTACAGTTATTACCTAAGAAAAAATACAATACAGAATAGAATGCATACTGAAGGACATCAGTAAGATTCATTTTCAGTTTCTAGTCCAATTCTACTCGAAATCTCAAATAGTTAATATTTTAAAAATATATAGTCATCTCTGCAGTGAAAGTGTAATTTTTTTGTTAGTCTTTAAAGGCAATGATGTTCGGCACAATAGTAAATTGCTTCAAATAAGGGGTTTTGTAAAAAGTTAACATTAAATAGTATTGAAAGGGAAACTCCTTAAACCAATTAAATTTAGTAGTGTCTTTGGGCAAAGAAAACAAAAGTAGTCTGAGAATTTGGAAACCCCAGAACCCAAGCAGGTTCTGAGAACTCCAACCAACAGTATTATTTGACTATATTTATTATGCTATTGTCTATATTTATAGAAAAACTGAAGCATAGAAATGTTAATTGGCCACAGCTTAGTCAATCAAATGATTAAAATTTAATTGGTTAGTTGGCTATAGGGCCTCCAGCAACCAACCAGTGGTAAGTTACTATAATTAAACTTTTTGCTGGTTTGGTCTGTTGGATCCACTTGTGGGTGCCCAGCCCAAATCCATTGACTCTGTTTTAGTCAGCTTTTTTGCTGCTGTGACTAAAAGATCTGACCAGAACAATTGTATAGGAGGAAAAAATTATTTAAGAGCTCACAGTTTCAGAGGTCTTAGTCCACAGAAGGTCGGCTCCCTTCCTTGGGGCTGGAGGTGAGCCTGAACATCATGGCAGGAAAGTTTGGCAGAAGGAAGTAGCTCACATCATGGTGATCAGAAGGCAGAGAGAGAAAGTCTCTACTCTGCAGATACAAAATATATACCCCATAGCCATGTCCCTAGTGAACCACTTCCAATAGCCACACCCTACCAGCCTCCAGTCACCACTCAGTTAATCACATCAGGGATTGATTCACTAATTAGGTTAAGGCTATACCCAATTATTTCCCTCTAAACATTCTTGCATTGTCTCAGACATGAGATGTTGGGAGATATCTCATATCCGAACCATAACAGCCTCCCACAAATTTTACTTCCAACACTGGGACGCTGTCATTTTAAGCTCAACCATTTATTGTAATAACAGATGAATAGGCTACCCAAACAACTTTAGCTTTACATAGATGTTTAGAAAGTTGAGACACATTATAATCAATGTATATAGATTCCTTGATAATTAGGCCTAAGAAAAAAACCAGTCAGTAATTATTATAATTTCTTGGGCATAATGTATACAGTAACTATTCACTTTCAAGCTGAAAGCAAAATACAATAAAAATGTAATCCCCACTTTTGGGGGGAGGGTTTACTAGGAATTGAACTCAGAAGTACTTTACCACTGAATTACACCCCCAGGCCCTTTTTATTTATTTGCTTTATTTGGGTGGATGCAAAAACCTGAGAAAAAAAATTTAATTTTTATTTTGAGACAGGGTCTCTGAATTGCTGAGGCTGGTCCTGAATTTGTGACCCTCCTGCCTCAGTCTCCCTACAGAGTCATTGGGATGACAGGCCTTCCCAACAGTGCCTGGCTAATTCTCATTATTTTAAAACAAACCAAAACAATTTTCCTGTTCATCCTTTTCATTCTGATAGCTTTGTCTATCTGTAACTTGTGTTGATGTTGCTTTTCCAAGTGCCACATATTCTATATCATCAGCACTTAACAGTGTATCATCTTAAAACAGCTCCGAATCTTGCTCTATAACAATGTGTAATTCCCTTGATCTTGGAGCCTACGAAATCCCAAAGGAAAAAGTATTGCAAGTACTTTCACCAAACTCGAAACAATAACTAGACCCATCAACAAGAGTAACAGAAGTTCTGCTACCCTGTTTAAAAAAAAAAAAAATCTATTTTGAGATTCATAGACGTAGAAATCCTTAAGAAATCAGACAGGTGGTTTAAAGGGGCTTTTATTAAAGCATTTGCTCAACATCTTTTCTAAAAGGCCATTTCACCACGACTACAGTATTTGGATGCAAGGACATCAGGTTCTACTTACACTACRAAGCCTGGTAAGGTCGGAGAAGCGATTTCTGTGCTTAGAGTTATTGAAAATACTAAGTTGTTTCAATATAGAGGAAAGGYCGTCTCTAAACCAGATAAAACAACAGAACACATGTTAATGCAAACTTGGTTTTTATATACACAATTAAACTTCGCTATGTTTTGGGACAGAAAACTATGGCTCTTCCAAAGTCGGTCACATAAACAGTCCAAAAACAAAAGTGCTTTACAAGCACAGTATGMAGAACTGGATGAGGCTTCCTGGAGCCCAGTCCCACGGTCAACGAGCAAAACGCGAAACTTTATCCACCACTTTAAGAAGGTAATTCAGAAAATTCGAAGTCTTCTGAGAAAAGGCATGGAAAATAACTTACTTAGCTTCTTGCTTTGGCTGTCAAATAATACTGAGAGTCACTAAAGCCCTAAAGATTCTCTAATTGATCAGGAACATCTATAACCCAGAATTCTCGCCATTTTGAATATTAGATCACAAAATTCTGAGGACTCTTGACTCGTGGAGCGGGGGGGGGGGRSRACACCTCAAGAGCCTCAAAGAATATCCCGGAAATGGGAAAAATCCACAGCGAAGTGCAAACTCCCTACCATATTAACCACCTACGTCACACCCCAAGCTGCAGCAAGGCCACCACACACCCACCGTCCTCCAGGGAGCTCAGACCCGGRATGTTTCAAAATCAGAAACGCGGCAAGCTTACACGCTCTCACCCACAGCTCAATCTCCCACTTCATGGACACCAGTACACGATGGGCGCTGCCATTTTGACAAAAAGCGGGTCCTACACGAAAGGCCCCTGAGAGAAGTCGTCCTGAGCGAGGCCGGAGCACCAGGAAGCCGCTGGCCGGTCACCACGGCGCCTATTACACGGCAACCCCAGCCAAGAGAACACACCCAGACTGCAATCCGCGACGGGGCTCAGCCAAAGTAAAATCACCCTCGAAATGGCAATTAGTCTGTCAGGCACTGCCAAGGGCAGCCACAGYCGTCGAGGGCGGGGCTTCGGCGCGGGGCGCGCTCGGTAACCCGGGCAACGCGGCCTCCGACAGGTGCAAAGAAGAACCAAGCTTCTGAGACACCGATGTCTCCGCCACGCCCCTGGGCGGTTCGCTAAGGCGGTTGGCGACCAGGCTGCGCGCTTTCAGTGCTCAAGCCTCCGACCTTCATCCACCAAGGAGCGTGGCAAGTGGTCACAGGCCGCCCCAGGTTTCCAGCCTCATTGCCCAGTTCGGCCGCAGGAGCGGCGCTTTTCRTAACCCCGGGAGCCTCCCCGGAGGAGGCGGGAGCGCGAGCACCTCCCCTCCGCGCCGCCCCCTTAGCTGCCCGTAGCCCTGCCTGCGCCCGCCTCCAAGAGGCGCGGGACGCCGGYCGCCGGCCGCAACGGTACTCACCTAGGCCGAGGGCCGCCCGCGGGCAAAGACTGTTGCTGCGGGTTATTTCGTTCGTGGCTTTTGTATAGGCTGAAATTTGGGTTGAGTTAAACTCAGGACTTCCGCAAACGGGACCTGTTTGGGGTTTGTTTGGGGTTTTTGGTTTGGGGTTCCCTCCCCCCCACTTTTTTTTTTCTTGGTTCTTTTTCCAAAATGGCAGCCTCCAGCCGCGCACAAGTGTTAGATCTGTACCGAGCGATGCTGAGAGAGAGCAAGCATTTCAACGCCTATAATTACAGGTGACCCGGCGGGCGGCGGGGCCGGGAGGGTTCGGGGCGCGGGCGCCCCAGAATGTTCCCAGGGGCAGGGAACCTCTGAGGGGCGCCGGCTGCCTCGAGACGGTGATGAGGGTCCGCCACCAAAAAACGTGTCCCTGCTAATTGGTGTGGTCCTCCGAAACCTCGGGCGGGGAGGAGCAGAGGGCTTGCCCTTCGTTGTGCCRGGGAAGACATTCAGAATCTCGTGACATTTCCCCCCCAAGTTGGATACCTTGGTTTCGTGCCCTGGGAGCATTGATTAACGTCTTGTTTCTGAAGGAAATAAGGATGGACATGGAAGCTGCGAGTGGTAAAGTTAGGACCAGTWTGTTGCATGTGCAAAACTTCCCTTGAGAATGGACATGGCCATTCAGTCGCACATGGCCCTAGAACTGAAAGCTCACTTTAGTGCTCCCGATTGTTTCCCAGATGTCTTAGTCTTTTGGGTTGCAAGAAGCAAATCTGTTGTACTAAGAATGGATTAGCAGATGTGGGACCGAGCTTGCATCCACAGGTGTTGATAAAGGGAAAAATGTTTCATTTACAGGTGCTGAAATGTTAGTTTATGCTTGATAACCAACAGGGATTGCCCCTGTAGGACCTTTAACAACAGGAGAATGGAGTGTGCACTCCTTTTTACATTTTTTAATTAGTTTTTCACTTATACATAAGAGCAAATTATAGATATCAGTGGGGTACCACGTGAGATTTTGGCACATTTACTAGTGTAACTTCTTCATGCAATAAACACTTATATTTTTATACAGCCCACTCTTTCCATCCCTGTCTRGTCCCCTGTTTAAGTCCCTTATTCTTGCTTTTTATCTATCTCAGAGCCTCTGCTTTCACATAGTTTCTCTTATAACTTCTGATCCCTTATACCTGTGTGTTTTATGGATTACCTTTCTGCATTCTTTCAGACTTTGTCTTTACTATATGAATCCTGAGTTTGAGCCATAGTCCCAAGAGCAAGAATCTGATTGAATCAGCTCATCTCTTTTTTTTTTTTTTAATATTTATTTTAGTTTTTTAGGTGGACATAATATCTTTATTTTATTTTTATGTGRTGCTGAGAATCCAACCCAAGGCCTCGCTCATACCAGGTGAGCACGCTACCATTGAGCCACATCCCTAGGCCCCTCAGCTCATGTCTTTACACCAGACTTCACTTTAAGTGACTGGCCAGGCTCCAGAGTGTATCAGAGAAACAGAGCCCACCTCTGGAGCAGAACTGGTTAGGTARGAGTGTGAGCTGGTAGGCCTTGTGCCCATTAAGCCGAATACAACGTCAGTAAACAGGAACACTGAACCTGTCAAGCACTGACTGTCAAAAATTTTCTTAGAAGCCTGCCTAGGAGATGTAACCATTTTACAAATTTTAGAACAACATCTAAGCCATACCAGTGAGATCACAATCCACCCAGTCAAATGGTTAAATAAAAGAAACATTTCTTGGGAGAGAATGATTTTATAGACACTGGGCATACTAGTAGATTTTTAGCAGAAATTAGGAAAACACCATGCATGAGGTATTTATCATTAGGGAACACAAAATATGAGTAAATAAGAGGAAAACAATCATGTTTCCCAAGGTCCAGAAGAAGATATGTTGTCATTTTAAGTTCACTCAGAATAAACAAGGATTGGGAATTAGCACACAGTTCCCATATTGAAAACACTGTGTTTAATAGAGGGTATATCCAACAGCACATTTTAGGAAAGAGTAACAGTTCTCAGAGAAGATAAACAACTTTGGATAAGTCAGTCAACCTCTGTTTCAGTTTTCTTGTTTGTAAAATTAGAATTTTGGACTACACAATTTCTAAGAACCCTTCTCTTAAAATTCTAGCTGGAAGTGACTTGGGAGTCAATAAGGAAAAAAGTTTGCAAGTGAATAAATGCCATTCAATGGAAGTAAATTTCAGAAAATCAGTCAAGGCTGCACTCAGTAGGTAGAAAATTGGAAATGACCTTCAGTATAAGCAACTGTAACATAATAAACCTTTAAAAGTAATTGGTCACATTATACTTTGAGTATATGCTTTCTAGCTAAACTTATTACCCAAATATAAAATATCCAGAGGAATCTGGTGGTTATTTTTCAGTATTGCCTGAAATCGTGAACATAAAACTGAGATTCCTGCTAGTTTTATTTCCCAAGATGAAAACTGAAATTGTTACGTCCAGTGAGTTTCAAGGATAGCCCTTCTGTCCTCTCAAATCTCATCAGTTGTCAGTAWAGGAAGATCAATAAAAATACCCATTGATCTTTTTGTGTGCCACTATTTTATGTTATTTATTGACACATTAGTTTTTGAGACAGCTTTTGAGGTAGGTACTATTTTTATAAGAGTAAGGCAAACAAGACAGAAAGGTAACATCTCAAAAGTAACACAACTAATGCCAGATAAGCAATCAAAAGTAGATTAGGATGCATGAAGATTGTCGTACCTGAAGTAATGGCAGTAATGAAGTAAATATTTGTTTAATTCTCTTGCAAGATCTAGATGTAGGCCACATTTTAATAGCATGGGCCCTGTCTGTTTTTCCAATCTCCAGCCCAGCAACCCTCACACATGGATCCTGCCCTCTGTCATATTCATTTCTAAATTTTTACCTTTTTTTTTGGCAGTGCTGGGGATTGAACCCAGGGTTACTTTACCACTGAACTGCATTCCCAGCCCTCTTTTATTTTTGCTGATGCTGACATCAAATTTGTGATCCTCCTGCCTCAGCCTCCTGAGTCACTGGGATTGAAGTCATGTGTCATTGCTTCAGGCTTGGTTACGGTTTCTTTTTTTTTTTTTTTTTTTTAGTTGTACACAGACACAGTACCTTTATTTTGTTTATTTGTTTTTATGTGGTGCTGAGGATTGAACCCAGTGCCTCACACATGCAAGGCAAACACTCTACCACTGGGCTACAACTTCAACCCCTCATTTGCAGTTTCTTAAATGTGCCAGATTCTCCTGGGCGTTCAGACCTTTGCAAATACTGTTCTATCTGGTGTGTCTTTTATCACCCTTGTTTCCCCACTTTCTTTGAGATTCAGCTTAATCAACACCTTCTCTGGACAAAGTTTTTTTTATTCTCTTTTCACAGCTCCTATCCCTATCTGTGCCCCTACCCAACAGACCCCATTCCTAGATGTTCATTTAACATAATGCTACCCCAAAACTTCTGAAATCTACTTTGCCCACTGTTGTACCAGGCCCTGGAGATAGGAAGGTGAGAGCCTTGGGCTCAGCAGGGGACTGCCATGAATGGTTTTAGACACTTCTGTGGACATAGAGACAGTTTTTGCAGATTAAGTGCTGTGTTAAAAATATGAGCAGTTGAATCAAGGAGGCCTCCAAGAAGATGACACTGGATCAGAAGCGTAAAGCAGCATCAGATGCTCAGATAACAGGAGACAGTAGAATATTACTGAAGAGYTGAATGTGCTTAGTTTAGATACTTTTGTTTTGAGATACATTCTCACTAATTTCCCCAGGCTGGCTTTAAACTCAGTCCTCCTGCCTCAGCCTCCAGAGTTGCTGGATTATAGGCACATGCCACTGTACCAGCTGAGGTTGGAAAGGTCCACATATTTTGAGGACTATGGTCCCTGCTAAGGAGCTTGGATTTTTTTCTTAGATAACATGCAGCCACTAAAGAGCCTGAAGCTGTAAAATGACATGCCAGGTTTGCATTTTATATAAGATCACACTATCAGCAACATAGAAGATAATATTGAGGGACTATAAATAGACACTAAATAGAGATTGTGACAGTGCAGAGGAGAAACTAAAATCTAAGGACAGGAGACATGAAAGATTCATGTGATAAATAATTAGAAGATAAAATGGTTAGAACACTAATGGTTGATAGCAGAATAAGGAAGAAGAAATCAAAGCAATCTAGAATACTGTCCAGGTTACCTTAAAGCACAGAGGGCAGATAGAGAAGGTGTACCATTAACTGAATTAGAGGATGCAGAAATAAATGGTTGTATAGAGAGAAGATTTTGAACTCACTTTTAGGGTATGTATAAATGGCCCTTAAGACACCAAACAGAAGTAGTTTATCTTAGATCTGAAGCTTGAGGAATGACAGTACTGAAGTAGGCAGCTCCACTAACTCTGTGGGACCCTGGCCAATTCCACTTCACTCTCCATTCTACAATTTCTTAATTTGTAMAATGAGAAGAACTTACTAACTCTTCTACCCATCTGCCACTGATTGAGAATGATAATGTTAATTATACCATTCCTAATGTGAGTAATATTAACAGCAAGCACCTTTCTCTTTCTGAAAAGAGAAGGAAGGCATTAATGGAAGGCATTAATGTGAAATGTTTTTCCCCCTTGAACATATCGACTTATTCCTAATATTTTTTGAAAACCCACAGTGTATTTGGAGGGATGGGGGTGGGRTGGGGACTGTACTAGGACCTATAAGTAAGTGGAATGCAAACACAAGATGGCCCTGCTGTTCAAAGATTGTGGTATGGTTGGGCTTAAGGATAGCTAAAGATACTTAAGAGAAAACAAGCAAACTGATATATGTTCCCAAATGGTAGAGTTTTGTAAATGTAGTGGGTTTCAGGATACACATAGGAAATGTGTTAATCTTACCAGCCCTAATGTGCAAAGTATTAACAGCAAGGAATACACATAGGAAATGTGTATCCTGTAACCCACTACTTGTTATTAATAGAGCACAATCATCTAGGTCTTCATTTCAGTTTTAGTATTACATATCTTTTCTCACTTAGAAACTTTTAAAGACATCCTTCATTCCCTTTCCCTGAAAAATCTTTGCTGTTAAACTAAATCCTGCTATTAATCTGAAATTGCTGTTGTGTAGGAAATTCCATCCACCTGTTATTTTTTGCTTTTTGTCCCTCAGCTCAGTTTAGAACTACCCTGACACATCATCTGGGACAGCCATCAGATTGTTACATGTTTCATTTTGCTTGATAGTATATTCTTGTGTGTGTG